ACCCCCCCCCCTGCCAATGCAGGGGACACAGGCTTGAGCCCTGGTCTGGGAAGATCCCACATGCTGCGGAACAACTAAGCCCGTGCACCACAACTACTGAGCCCGCGCTCTAGAGCCCGCGAGCCACAACTACTGAAGCCCACATGCCTATAGCCCATGCTTGGCAACAAGAGAAGCCACCTAAATGAGAAGCCTGCGCACCACAACGAAAAGTAGCCCCCGCTAGCCACAACTAGAGAAAGCCCGCGCAGAGCAACAAAGACCCAATGTAGCCAAAAAAAAAAGCAAAATAGTCAAAACCCATTGAAAAGTGGACAAAGGGCATGAGAATTTTACAGAAAATAACCCAGCTTTTAAATATCTAAAAGATGCAACTTCACTCATAAGACAGATGAGAACACAACTCAAATGAGACATGATTTTTTTCACCTATTAGATGGTAAAGATTAAAAATTTTGATAACACTATTGATGAGAGTGGGGAATTATTATTATCATCATGCAGTGCTGACAATAATGCAAATTGTTACAGCCTTTGTGGAGGGTAATCAGTAATATCTATCAAAATTACAAGTGCTTATGCTTAGATATAATTCCACTTCCAGGAACTTAAACCATAGAAATAGCTGCACATACTAAAGAGATGAACAAGGATTTTTTTAGAGCATTGTTTTTGTTTGTAAATGTCCAACAATAAGAGACTGGTTCAACAAAATAAAAATACACCCAGAGAATTCCCTGGCAGTCCAGTGGTTAGGCCTCCACGCTTTCACTGCCGGGACCCAGGTTCAGTCCCTGGTTGGGTGACTAAGATTCTGCAAGCCGCGTGGCACGGCCAAAAAAACCCAAAACAAAACCAAAACCAAAAATACCCAGTGGGATACTAGATAGCAATCAAAAAGAATAAGGCAGATCTATGTGTATCAACGTGGAATGAACTTGAGGCAAGCTCACTGGGGAAAAAAGAAAGGGGCAAAACAGGGGACAGCATGCTACTGCTGGTGTAGTCAAAGACATGTGTATAGACAACATATTCATGTGTGTTCATACATGCATAGGCTATCTCTGAAATCATTTTTACAATGGCCTACAGGCCTTACATAATCTAACCTGCCCCCTGGCACCTTGTCACGACCCCTCTGACTCATCCCTCTTTCCCCTTAGCTCTGCTCCACCTGCATTGGCCACCTTGCTTTTCTGGAACACCCCAGGCACCCGCCTGCCTTACGCTTCCCAATAGCTGGCAGGAACACTGTTGTCCCAGATGTCCATGGGGCTCACTTCCTCCCCTCCTTCAAGCCTCCGTTCAAATATCCCCTTCCCAGTGAGGCCTACACAGACTACCCTAATAAAGCTACATCCTTCACACTTTATTTCCTCTTGCCCTTCTCTATTTTTTCTTTTTCCCACAGTACCTATCACCCTCTAACTTTCTATTATTCAATGTGCTTCGGTACCATGCTTATGGTCTACGGTCTGTTTCCCCTCACTAGAATGTAAACTCTACAAAGGGTGAGGGTCTTTGTTTTGTTCAGTGATAGAGACCAAGCATGAACACCTAGTAGGCGCTCAGTAAATACCTGAATAAGGGAATGAAAAGATACACAAGAAACTGGTAACAGCTGTTACCCACAAGGAGGAGAACTGAGGTACTGGGGGGGGGATGGGAAGGAGACGCACTTTCCAGCACATACCCTTGTATACTTTGTACCACGTGCTTATATTAACTGGTGAAAATTTAATGAAAAATTTTGGCTCTGCCAACAGTATGCCAGAACTGGAAGAAGCGACAACCTGGATCCAACTCCTTCTTCACCTGACACAGGACGGTCCAGATGCAGAGAAGTTAGGTAGTGTGCCAAGGTTACACAGTCAGGATGTGGATTTAAACCCACATCTACTAACTCCAGAGCACTAGCTCTTAGCCCTTATGCCATAGAGTCTCTTGGCTTAGGGTTCTAATCAGCCAATCTAATGTATCGTGATAGAAATGCTAAGCTGAGGTGTTCCATAGGGGATGGTTTCCATCTGTCTAACATTTCCCATTACAATGAACTCCAAGGGATGGTCTCAGTTCTTTTGATACATGAGCTTTTGGCTGTGCTGTTCATGGCTTGACAGAAATGGGACTACTGGGCTTGTGGATTTTTTTATGAGAACTTCATGGTCAAAATAAAGTGCTAATTTCAGTCCCCTGGTAGCTGGAAGCACAGTTTTCCTGAACCCCGCACTCCCAGATATTTCTTCTTTCAAAGCAGTCAAGAGGTCTGGGTGAGCTGCTGGGTGTATGGGGGTGAGGGAGGGATCTGAGGGCACTTGGCCTGGTCAAAGAGTAATGGGCGTATTCCCAGGGGCTATTAAAGGCTGGCTGCTGAGCTTCCTGGACAGGGCTGACTGATGGGAGGCCCTCTTGGCCCGGACCAGGTGGTGGACCCGCCGCCACTGCTGCAGCCAGTAGAGCATTTCCACTTTGTCATGCTTCATCTTGTCCAGGTAGCGCCGCCCCTTGAAGGTCACCGGCTCACCAAAGACTAACTCGATCTCCTCCAGGAGGGGAACCAAAGGAGCCTCCACTAGACCGAGCCTCTTATGGAGATGGTTGCGGACCCGATTCTCCCCCAGGAAGCGACTCAGGCCCATGTCGGTCTTGTGGAAGAAGCGGTTAGGGTCGGAGGCTTGTCGCTCAAACCACTCCAGTTTCCCCAGCAATATCTCCCGCAGCTGAATGGGCTGCAAGGCCTGCTCCCAGGCACTCACCAGTGACGGCAGCTGCCTCAGGCGGGCGTTGGAGCTGTACTTGATGGCCATGTCCAGCCGGTCTTTGTCAGGGACCTCAAGCATGGACCACAGCCGCTCCAGACGCAGGCTCAGGATTTTGTGAGAGTCTTCCAGGAGGCTGTTGTTCTTAGATTCCAGCCTGTGCTCCAGCACTGTGTCCCAATCCCACTCCCCTGGCACAAAGTCTGGCTCGTCGTCTTCTAGCAAGGGAGGTGGGTGCTGAATCTTTAGGGACTCTCTGACAGGGGCCACGATCTCCACAGGAACCTCCTCTTCATACATTTGGAAGATGACATGGAGGAAATCTGTCTCCTGGGTGGTGAGGTACTTAAAGTAGTCACCCACAGACAAAGTCGTTTTCCACCAGTTCAGCCATGAGGCCTTGTTTGACCACTTCTCCCAGCTTTTACTTGCTTGCAGTGATGTGAAGGAGGACATCTTATCAGGGTTGGACTGTAAAGTGTTAGCTCTCAGGGAATAAAGTCCAGCCAGCTTGGTGTTGATGATACGACGCTGTTTTTCTTGACGTAGAAAGGCTGAGGATAGGAAGGCTGACCAGTCTTTATTGGCTGCAGGCTCAACCAGGGGCCCCTGGTCAAAAGAGAAGTGGTCATTAGAGACACGGCTCATCAGCTCCTTGTACACCTCCCTGATGCTACTGCCAAAAGTGCAATCAGTATCCATTTCCTCGATAAGTTTGGGTTCCAGTTCACCCGCCAGGTGGTTGTATAGGACTCCAGGCCCCTCAACGTGGAAGGAATCCAAAAAGTTTCTTGCTGAGACCTGTACAGCAGCTGCCTGGACCACCTGATTTCTTAGCTTCAAAGTAACAGTCACTGGCTGTGGTTCAAGTGGATGGGATCTGGGGGACTGGAGGCTCCACTGCTTTGAGGCTTCCTTCTCCTCGAGGCCCTTCAACATTCTCTGCAGCTCTTCCATGTGATGTGATGCAGCTGGGCGGTAGGTCAGGGCCCCCAAGAGTGGGGGCAGGCCCGAGTCCAGCAGTGAGTAGTGAGACCACCCCAATTGCATGTTCTTCATCCTCTGCTTCAGGTCCTCAGCCACAGTGTCCCCTGCCAGCTCCGGTTTGCTCTCTGCAACCAGGACCAGTGGGGTTAAGGGGCGAGGAGAGAATGGAGGAAGGCCCAACTCATCTGCTAGTTTCCAGCCCTCACGCAGAGAGGGCATGGACTGGCCCCTCTGGAGCTGGGAGGAGAGGGGCAAGTGGGAGGTGGGGGGAACCTGGCTGGGGGTAGCCACAGAGGACCCAGGCAGTGAGGCAATCTGTGAACTGAAGTTGCTTTCTCTCCGCTTTTGCATGGTGGACAGACGGCAGACAGGCTTCTTCTTCAGCTGGGGAATGGGCTTCAGTTCCTTCACTGGGTCCGGTTCAGGCTCACGGACAAACTCTCGCGGGCGGCTGAGTTGGATGAGGTAGTTCAGGCTGAGGTTGAAATACGGCACTTGGGCAAAGCCAGTGCTGTGATTCCATGGGATAGGGCAGAGCCTGGAAGCCGCAGGGGGGCCGAGGGGGCGCAGTCTGGGCACGCAGACTTGGACCTGCCCTTCCTTCAGCAGGGCGCGGAAGTCAGCGAGCAGGCCACGGTAGACCTCGGGGCCGGTGAGGAAGACTGTGCAGTCCCTGGCGAGGCTGGCGGCCAACCGGGTGAGCGTGGCTGATTCGGTGAAGACAGCTGCGGGGGTCGACATGATCTTCTGAAGGTGCAGGTAGCGTACGAAGAGCTGCTCGCTGCTGAGCAGCACGTAGACCAGGAGCCGCTCCCGCAGTCTCTGATTGTTCCGGTGGCTCAGACCAGGTTCGGTGGGGGGCTCCTGCCAGCTGCACTTTAGCTCATCCAGGATGACCTCGGTGAAACGGAGTCGTACCTTGCGAGGCGCGCGCGCCTCCAGCCCGCTGTTGGCCAGCCGCTCCGCTACCTGGCGGCAGAGCGACGCCACCGTCAGCCGTGAGACCGGTAGGGGCAGCAGCATCAGGACCTCCTGCGAGAGGCGCTTCTGAGACTCTGTGCGCGTCGTCGTGCGGGGGAAGAGCGACAGCGGACGCAGCAACCGGTGGTAAAACCGCTGGAACTCGGGCTCGGGCTTATACGGCTCCATCTTAGATCAGGCGGCGCTGGCGACGCTGGCGGCGCTGGCGGCGCTGGCGGTTACTAAGGCAACGAGGGGCCGGATGGCCCAAGTGCGCCTGCGCAGCCCTTGCCCGCCACAGCGTGGACGTGGGTGGGGGGCATGCAGAGCCTTGCGTGCGTTCGCAGCGGGAGGCGGGGCAAGGAGTGGCTTCCGGGGCTCCGCCTCTCCCGACGCGTCTCAGGTTTGGCGCTACAGGACCTGGACAGTTCGGGTCCTCCGGTGGTGACAGAGTTCGGGATGGCATCGGATTCGGGGGACCGGGGGACTGCCTGCATGGTGAGGGTCGAGGCCTCGTGTGGGAGCCTCGCAGGGGCGAGAGCCTCGGCGCCTGGGGTGATCGTTAACTTGAGAATGGGGGAAGGAGCGTACACCTGGGTTGGGGCCTGGATTCCAGGCTGGAATGTGAGAGTAGCAGGGCCCTTGGCGTTAATGTTGAGGGGTGTTGCTTCTGGAATGATCGTGAGTGATAATGAAGAAGGCGCTTGAGGAGGGGTCACGTGGGGCGTTACTCCAGGCCTTTGGGGGTGGTCACAGGGCAGGTAGTGAAACAGGGTCACAAAAGAAGGTTCCCTAGCTCTCTTCGGACCGTCCTTGCAGTTGGAGTTCGCGGTGCAGATGACCTGTCAGAGCTGCGTGGACGCGGTGCGCACGTCCCTGCAAGGGATAGCAGGTGAGAACCAGATTAACTTGTCTGCGCGCAGTCAGGAGGCCTCTGGGAGGGGCAGGCAAATCTCTTAGACCAACCCTACTCCCATTTACAGATGCAGAAATTGAGACCTGGAGAGAGGAAGGAATGTTCTCAGAGTCACACAGAGACCCAGAGGCGGAGTCTAGAGTGCAGGTCTCAGGCCTGCCCTGCCAGATTCTTCTACTGGCTCTAACTGCCTGCCCTTCTGGTGTCTTTTTTTTTTTTTTTTTCCTTG